GAGGAGGAAACAGCTGGGTCCCAGAAAGCCATTAAATATGGTCAGTGGACTCTGGCAGGTGGGAGAAACTGGGACCAGGATGGGGCTGGCAGGAGGCAGGCAGGGAAGGTGCAGACCGGAAGACGATGACCACCGTGTCTACTTGATGGAGAGGGGCACAGCCCCAGGGCAGGTCCTGGCTTGCTAAGGGGACTTTTTCATTCTGTGGCCAAGGAGAAGTATTCCCAGAGTGGCCTGGTCCAGAGGCTGAAGGTCAACTGGTTGACAGGGATGTAGCCGAGAACAGATAGCCACAGGGTCCTACAGCTTCCCTCAGGGGATCCAATTTAGGAATCATTTCTTTACCCCCTGCCGCGAGCAAAGGGCAGGTGTGATTCCCATTTTACATCCTGGAGGAAACCTCTCCTCAGGACTTGCATTTTGACAGCCATTATGCCAGCACTTTCTGCCCTCCTGGCTTCAGAACCCAAGGATGCTTGTGGCTTCATAAGCCGCAGTTAGTCTGTGATCTCTGGCACTTTGGAGGAAATACGTGAGAATCATTCCTCCTAATGAACCTCACAGAACGCCTCTGTTCCTTCTGCCTGATGGATCTCTGCTTGTCGGTCTGATTTCTCGGCTTCTTCCCCAGCAGGAGTTCAGGGCCCAAATGGCTCGCTGCACTGGCCTGCTGGGGCACACGCACCCCTTGAAATAGTTTGATTTCTCGTAACTTTCTCCTTTCCCTGCACTCTTCATCCCTTTCTGGAGCCCTTCCTGGTTCCCTTTGTCCCCCCACCTGCCTCTCATCATGACTCTCATGTGCTCAAGGCGCTAATGAGGACTCCTTTTCAGAGAAGAGGGCACATTCTAAAGACAGCTGCTGCAGCAGGTGACCTTTCAGATGGCTGCTTGAAACATCAAATGTCTGGAACAGACTCCCCTCGAGATGTTCTCTCCAAACACAGAAACTGCACCACACAGCTCAGCCGGGGTGCTGCCAGGCTCCTGTCAGAGCCCAGAATTGTTCAGAAACTCCCAGAGGCAGCCTGCATGGCCATGTTCCCTCCGTGGGGTGTGGGAAGGAGACGGCCATGGGACTGTGATCTCTGGGTCTCTGGCACTTGAGTAGCATTTTCCAAGGTGACCTTGTTGACGGTCAGTGCCTGACAGGACCCCCAGCACTTTTACCAGGCTGCACTGATCATCTGATCATCACGGCCAAACCCACCGCCAGTTCCTGAGCAGCCCTTACCCCCCCGCCTCTTCCTCCCCAGGTGTGGGCCTTCACGTACACCCAGCAGATCCTCCAGGAGGAGCTGTGCCTGTCCGTTGTCACTTTGTTCCCTGGTGCTCCCGTGGTTCTTACCCTTTGCAAGAATGGAGATGACAGACAGGTGAGTGCTCAGGGAGCCTGGGGCGTGGCCGCCTTCTGCAGTGTGGCTGCCTGTGTGGCTCTAGGTCTTCTGTACCAAGCAGGAGAGAAACTCATAAGAGGAGGGATTAATGAGAAAGCAGTCCCGGTGTTAGGAGAGGGCGGCCAATGCCATCTCAGATACCCTCCTTGGTGCCAGAAGCAACAGCAGCATTGACCCCTGCCGGACTGCTTGACACATGAAAGGCTGTTGACCCTGGCTGCCCAGACCATGCTCATTCTACTAGGACTGACCTGTCATTGCTCTGCCCCTCACCTGGAATCCCAGACAAAATCTCAAAGCTACAGAGATGAGTATACTCACCCTTTTGCCTTCAAAGCCTTGGCCTAGAGCAGTGTGTCCAGCAAAACCCCAAGTGTTCCGGGTGCACCAAGGGCCTCATTCCCCTAGCAGCAAAGTGGTGGCTGCTGACTGGGTAGTGGCATTAGAAAAATCAAAATTCAAATACCTGTCTTATGGCTCAGTGGCTGTGTGACCCATGGCAGGTTACTAGGCCTCTCTGAATTCCATTTCTTCCTCTGTGAATGGGGTTGGTGATACTCACTGCACAGGGCAGCTGAGACAGTCCCCATGCAGTACGGAACTCAGTGCCAGCTCCGGGTCCTCCCTGAGATGTGTCAGGCCTCCATCCTTGTCACACTTGAGCAGAGTGTGGGGAATAGCCACATGAGACCCGTCTCGCCACTGCTGCTGTGCCCAGCTCCTCCCCACTTCCCGGTAACTGCGCAGACACTGAGTCTGGATTGTTTTGTTGGTCGCTTCTGTGACTAACTCACTTCACATTTTCTGGCCTATTGCTTGGAAAGTTATTGCCTCCTAATGAGTTTCCCCAGTAAGCATATTGATTTTGCTTTTAACTTTTTTTTTATTCAATTAAAGAGAAAAGCCAACAACAATACCTGGCAGAACAATTGGTTGCAGTTTTTAGTGCTCCGTGAGACCGTAACATCAATTCTCGGAGTGACCCTAGACAAGTGGTATCAACCTTTCTCAGGATGCAGAACTCTGATGTTATTGATGGGACCCGGGGCCTCAGCCAGAGAAACCCTGTTCATCCTCTCCTTTCTGTGTCTTCTCAGCAATGGACCAAGTCTGGTTCCCACATTGAGCACATAGCATCCCACCTCTGTCTGGACACAGACATGTTCGGTGATGGCACTGAGAACGGCAAGGAAATCGTCGTCAATCCCTGTGAGTCCTCACTCATGAGCCAGCACTGGGACATGATGAGCTCTTGAGGACCCTTGCCAAACCCAGCGTGGCCCATGGGTGGTGCTTGCCTGGACCAGAACAGACTGGAAACCAGGCAGTGAGCAGCCCGCGATGACTCCAGACACCCTGGACTGGGAGATGGAGACAGAGCTCCCCAGAACAGGAGCAGCTGTCTCAGGGAGGAAAAGAGGGCAAGCCAGTGGGGCTGAGAATCATCCCACAGGTTCTCAGTCCGGTCAGGCTCCAGCCCCGCAGCTCTTTCCCGGAGTGCTACCTGGAGACAGAGATCTAATGGGAAGTGTTTGTCACTTCCTTCTTACAAAAGAGGCACTGTGGAGACAAGAGAGAAGAGCCTTCCTTGTCACCGGCCAGGACTAAATTCAGAGATGAAGAAGGAAGGTATTTTCCAAAACAAATAAAGATAACCTTGGAAGCTGTCTCTGGGTAGCTCTTACTTGGTCTATTCTTTGATTGGCTCAGGGCTGAGCTGAGCTCTCCCCTTGGATGGGAATGTGGAGGTGGTGGGTGTCTTGTGGTAGAGTGGACAAAGATGATGGAGATGAGAGGCCTGTGCCCTTGTCCCAGGCCACCAACTAGCCATGAGGTCTTTTTTTTTTTGAGACAGAGCCTCAAGCTGTCCCCCTGGGTAGAGTGCTGTGGCATCACAGCTCACAGCAACCTCCAACTCCTGGGCTCAAGCGAATCTCCTGCCTCAGCCTCCCGAGCAGCTGGGACCACAGGCACCTGCCACAATGCCTGGCTATTTTTTGGTTGCAGCCATCATCGTTGTTTGGCAGGCCTGGGCTGGGTTCGAACCCGCCACCTTGGGTGTACGTGGCTGGCGCCCTAGCCACTTGAGCCACAGGCGCCGAGCCTAGCCATGAGGTCTTAACAAGACATGTGACTTCTTTGTTTCACCATTTGCTGTTATGTCAAGCAAGGGCAGGGGCATGGGACCAGATCAGTGACTTTGGCTGATGACACATCTACCTCATTCTGGGAAATTGTCTGTAATTCAGAAGCTCAGTGGTGATCCTGGCGTAGTAGGGAGTAGGTCCAGTCCCGGGCCAGACGTCCCTCAGATTGTGATTTCCCTCCTTGGTGAAATACACTTTATGGTCTGTGGCCATTGCCATAGGAATTTCTCACTCCAATAAATCCCCAGTGTGCTCTGGAAATTGGTGATGGTGGTGGTCTAGTCTCTTCAACTGGGGTTTAAGAAAAAAACTGATTCATACTACTTTCGAGTTTCCCAAATATGCCCAGATTTTCGCTGCCCAGGTAAATTCACCACACGCTGATTTCTAAGTGCCCCTGTTAGCCATTGCTGCATAATAAATTCCCTCCAAGCCGCTGAAAGCAACACATCCTTATCCTCACCTTTCCTGTAGGTCACGAATCCAGGCATAGCTTCACAGGGACCTCTGCCTCAGGCTGTTGTACGAGGCTACCATCAGGGTGCTGGCCAGGTCTGGTCATCTCAAGGTTCACCTGGGGCAGGATCTATCTCAGGCTCACTCAGTGGTAGTTAGCAGGATTTTGTTCCTGGGAGGAGGTTGGCCAAAGGTCACCCTCAGTTCCTCACCATGAGGGCATCTCAGAAGTCAGAGTCTTTCTTTTCTTTTCTTTCTTTTTTTTTTTATAGAGACAGAGTCTCACTTTGTCACTCTTAGTAGAGTGCCGTGGAGTCACAGCTCACAGCAACCTCTGGGCTTAGGTGATTCTCTTGCCTCAGCCTCCCGAGTACGTGGGCCCACAGGTGCCCGCCATGACGCCCAGCTATTTTTTGTTGCAGTTTGGCCAGGGCTGGGTTTGAACCTGCCACCCTGGGTATATGGGGCCAGCGCCCGACTCACTGGAGCCAAAGTGCCTCCCTTTCTTTTCTTTTCTTTTCTTTTCTTTCTTTTCTTTTCTTTTTTTTTTTTTTAGGCAGAGTCTCAAGGTGTCGTCCTGGGTAGGCTGGGGCATCACAGCTCACAGCAACCTCCAACTCTTGGGCGTAAGTGAGTCTCTTGCCTCAGCCTCCCAAGTAGCTGGGACTACAGACACCCGCCACAATGCCTGGCTATTTTGGGGGGGATGGGTGGGGGTTGTAGTTGTCATTGTTGTTTGGCAGGACTGGGCTGGATTCGAACCCCCCCAGCTCCAGTGTATGTGGCTGGCACCCCAGCAGCTTGAGCTATAGGCACTGAGACATAGAAGTCAGAGTCTTTCATAACCTCATGTCAAAAGTTTCCTCCCATCACTCTTAACATCTTCTGTGTGAGAGAAGCAAATCCGGGGGGCCAACCTAAACTGGAGGGAAGAGGATGACATAAGTGAATTAATGGCAGGAGGCAGGGATGATTGGGAGCCGCCACCTGCCACAGTAACTATTATATTCCACGCAGGTATCCATCTCCCCTTCATCCAGAAAGCCCTTCAGTGATGGGAATTTGTTCAAGCTCATCATTATAAAATCCATTACTAGAAACTGCTCTCAACTTGGAGAGTCAAGAGCTGAGCATGTCCGTGCAGGCCCACAAGTTCCCCTGGTGGCTGTGTGTGTGTGTTTATGCCCATCTGCTGTTGCCTGCTGGAGTTAGGACTTGGCTCTTTTCTTCGAGTTATTTCACTCCATGCTGGGAGAAGGAAGACAGGCCATGGTTAGACAAAGCTGTCTAGAGAAGACATTCTACCACTAAGCTATGTGTTCACAGGGCTTAGGCCAGCCCTGCAGAGAATGAGAACCTTACCCTAAATCAGTGGTTCTCAAACTTCCTAATGCCATGATGTATTTTCATTGTTACACAGGGGTCGTGACCCACATGTTGAGAACCGCTGCCCTAAGTAGTGACACAAGAACTACAGAAAACATACAAGAACACCTGGCATTGTCCTCATCTGTCTACTTGTTCCTCTCAGTGTATGTGCCTGTCTTTGAGTTCCCCAATGGCAGTAAAGACGTCTCTTGCCTTTTTCAATCATAAGCACTGGGCTTGGCACACCTGCCTCTCAGTGGACGTTTCCCTAAATGGATGATGGAAAAATTATTCCTTGTCCAAGATGAAATGACTTTACTTACATTTTGCTACTCCTATAAAGACACGGAATGCAGGTGGTCTTACATCTGTCTCAAACACCCCAGGGAATGAGGACAGAAGAGTGAGGGCCTCTGCCCCAACAGGGCAGACACCCCTTACCACAACCATTTTCAATGAGGCCCGGCTGTCCCACTGATGTTCCTCTTACCAGGGAAAAACTGTGGGGCAATCGTGAAGAGTCACCTTGAGGGAGATGAAGGGTACTCTGCGGATGGAGCTACAGGTGGTTCACGTGTGAGCAGCAGGGCATGCACCGAAAGGCCTCCTTAGTGAAAATGAAGGTTAAAAACTCTGATGGTGCAAACAGGAATCACTACAACTATGTTGAGTTACTCAAATGCTCTGTCCACTAACCTGATGGTGATGCAGCCAAAACAAGAGTCGTTGATTTAAAAGCAAGCACAGCAGCGATTCCAAACCGCCACCAACTTAGGACAAAGCTGGCAACCTGAGAGGACATTGATCTCAGGGATCAATGTTACAGCTTCAGTTACAGGGATGCCTGTGGCCTACGTGTGTGCAGCACAGAATGAGTGTGGCCAGGCTGTCAGGCCTTCCCGTGGGTGTTGAATTAGAGTCCTCAGTCAACTTTGAAGGTTGAGTTTGAACATCCAATTTTAGTAACCTGGAGCAATGTGCTTAGTAGGTCACCAGTAGGTGTGAGTGAAGGTAAAAGTTTGTCAAATGACATCAGCCTCTGAAAACAAAAAAGAAGTATACTCTGAGGATCTTAAGGGCTCATAAGACTTAGACTTCAAACCATGCTTGAGTCCGCAGCCTGGAAGAGTCACTGCAATGCCAGGCAAGGCAGTTGGCCTGGTGTGGCAGAATCCCCTTCACTCAGTTACATCTGGCTAGTGGGAACAGATGTGAACAATGTGAGTATTTTTACTACAGCTCTATGCATATTAAATGAAAAGGAATTTACATATAATTTACTATACGTGTGCATATGTATAGTCTCGAAGTAGGAAGAAAAGAAAGGAGGCCTCTGGCATTCTTGGTGATTAGATTAGACTTGGAGGCATAATGGTGTGGAGTGGAGGGGAAGAAATGAGAGGTTCTAGGCAAGTTTGAGCTCACAGTGGGTAGCTGAGCCTGGTGGCATGTTGCGTCTGAGACGCACTGTCCCCCCAGTTTGTTTCCTTCTGTGCTTTGTAATTTCCCTGGTGAGCTCATCTTTAGTGAGAACTTTTTCCTCCAGGCCTCCTAGATGCCCTGATTGTGGAGAGAGACTTCAGGGAAGGTTTCCATTTGTCTCTGCTGGGGTTTCGTTGGTTTTCACTGATTCCGAACAAATCTGTACCCTCTTGGGACATTGATTTCACTGTGAGCAATGAGAATTTGGACCCATGTCTGTTACTTGGTACAATCTTGGATTTTGATCTTTTGTTGTTTTTTTCTGCCTAAAACTTTAGTGCTGCTCCATGCAGCTGCCAGTCAGCTGGCAGATGGGGTTTGTTTTGCCCCTCCAAGCACACAGCTAGGGTAGAGCCCCATTTCTAGACTCCCACAAGGCTGTGGTCTCCACATCTGCCTCCTCTTGAGCATTAAAGCCCAGCCTGGTGACACGCATCTGGCGTCAATTCCCCTTCAGCTCTCATTCTCCATTCTGTGAATTCCCACTGGCTTTTGGAAGCTGGAATTGCTCTCTCTTTCTGTTCAAATGCAGCTGTGATGGTTTATCCAATATTTATATATGTACAGAGGAGGGGGCTTCCTGTGTCAGCTCAGACCAAAATCCCTTAGTGCTGTAATTAGCTGTCACCACTGTCTTTCCCACTGGCTGTGGGATTATATCTTACTGTAGACACTCAATAAATTTCTATGAATGAGTGAGAGAATAAGCCTGTGATTCTTTAGTACCACTTCCTAATTACCTCCTGGCCACAGTTATCAGACATTAGAGTTTTAAAAAGACAGCAACGGCAGAAATGGAGGACTGAGAAGACAAATTTATAACAATAAAATCTCATTATAATACACATAGATTTAGGGATCATACATATTTTACTTCATAATGACAGAGTTTAATACTGAAAATGCT